GAAGAACAAGAAAGTAATGACCCAGACACGATGCTAGCAACAGAAAGCGGATATGGCAAGAACAGTGCCAGGCGTTCAAACAATTCAAAACTTGAAAACAGACGAAAATAGAAGACAACAAAGGGCAAGTAAACGGATTCAGAAGAGTTATGAAAGATTGAGCTTAATAAAAGAGTTTATGAACCTACCAAGAGAATGAACGCCGATATGAAGATCGCTGGAGTCAAATAGATGACTGGAAGTCGGGAACCCACCGAAGAATGTGAGTGGAACAGTTGCAAAGCTCTTGGAGTTTACGAATTAATGGAACAAGAACCTCGGGTGGAGGTGTGATCTCGAGCAGCTTGGAAAGCATGAAGCTGATACTTGACAGAAGTGGACAATAAAGTCCAGGGAACTTTGAGGTCGGCGAGTTTGATCTCGGACAGAGGGGCACAAATGAACGAACAGTGTAGGTTCCATCACCTCAGATGTCGAGTAATAAACCTTAGGGGGCAGTTGTGGGGATATATTTTCTGAGTACCAACACATGGCCAAGGTGATGCCGACGTATCAGCCGAGGTGCTACATGTCCTGGTTGTTATGCCGAGGTCATCTCGGATAGGCCGAGGTTACCTCCGAAAATATCGAAATCCGAGATAAGCGGATGAGAGTCCTAGAATGAAAGAAGACTTCAGTTTGTATTAAGATAAGACTCTTAGAGAGTTTATCCTAATCTTACTAGGAGTCCAAAATTAGCAGTAATCTTGAGTCCATAGAAGTTAGGCTTCTATTGGGACTAGGTTTATGTTGGCTATAAAAGAGAGGCACCCCCATGGGTCTAAGGTATGCTTTTGAAACTCAAGTTTGTGAGTTTAGCACTTGATTTATCTTTGAGAGATATACTGACTTGATCGTCGGAGTGCCCCCGGGTGGACGAACCACCGCCGGAATCTTCTCTTTCTGTTGCAAGTCAGCCAGGTGCCATCTATTCTACCGGTGCCATCTATTCTGCCGGTGCTCTCTAGTTGGTTACTAAGAGGGCAGTGTGGTCAGAAAATCACTCACACACCTAAAAATGGCTTCGTTTGGGAAGTTGTTATTTTAGTAGGCTATTTTAGTTTTTAGCTATTTTAGTAGGTTAAAATTTTTGTGTTTGGGAAGATGATTGGATTTTTTGTGGTTGGATGTGATGTTTGTGAGAGAAAAAGTGAAATGATTATGGGTTTGATGTGATATTTTGTCTTATTAGCTATTTTAGTCTATTTTGTCTTTTTGTGAATTTTAGCCTAAACTAGGTTATTTTTTTTCTTGCCAAACACCCCCAATGTTGATTTTGTGTTGCCCTAGAGAGATCATTTAGGACAATCCAAGGGGCAATCTGAGTGACAATGAATGAAAAATATAGATTTCAAAAGAACCATAAAGAGAGAGCAGGATATTGAGAAACAGAGATAGAAAGCAAGATTGAGAGAGCAAAGATAGATAGAGAACGAGATTAAGAGGTCGAGAGAGTTCATAACGCCATTTCCTTGTTTAATCTCAAAAATGAGTTGTGGAGAAGAGGTTGAAGTTGGATTCGACGGTGAAGATGACAGAATCGAGGCTGGCATCTCGAGGTCTGAATGCGGATGATCTCTACTGGTTTCTGATCATCAAACCCTAGTAGCTCCGGCATTGTTGTCTATTGCTTCTCATCACAATCTTAGAGAGAGAGAGAGAGAGAGAGAGCGCGACCATAGCAAACGAAAGTGACAGAGATCTCTGTTGTGAATTGTCGAGAAAGTCACAGTGAAAAAGGTTAGGGCATAGGAATAAAAAAAATGCAAAATAAATAGTAAGAGAAAAAATTATGAACCTGCGGTTGCAAATATTATTTTTTGCGACGGTAAAATAATCCGTCGCAAAAAACCACTTTTCTAGTAGTGTGACTATCCTAATGATGATAAAAATTGGTCCCTAAATGTCTTTTACAACGAAATTTTCACTTTTAGAGACCAAAATTTGTATTCCATCAATGGCAGCAATACATTAGGGGAAGGGTGTTCAATTGAATACTCTGACTATGTTTTTATTTGTGTATATATATATATATATATGTAATAGCCTACTTCTTAGAATTTGAACACCCAAGTTTACATATTTTGAATATCTATACCAAAAATCTTAAACAACAAACACACTCACTTCAAACTTTGCACACCCACCCACAACATACTCACAATCTCTTTTAATTCTGGATGTAATACCCCTATCAAAACCACTACGTATCTAGAATATTAGGATGAGTGTCCAGAAAGTGAAGTAAATGAAATAAATTTGAAGTTGGGCAGTGTGGGACACGTCCAAATTGTCTATACACTTCATTTTCTTAGTTCTTTTTGTTTTTTGATAAAGTAGTAATAGTGTACCCTCATATGAAAACTAAAAAAGCTACTTTCATATAAAAGAAAAAGAAAAAGAAAAAGATAATACCCAAATGATAGCTCATTTAGTAAATGTGGCTTATGTTGAATTAAGATATTGAAATTGAGAAAAACTGCCTTCAAGCTCCCTCAAAACTACGTAAAAGCAGTGTGACTCTTCAAAAACAATTGAGAACTCTATATGTTTAGTATTTGTTTTAGATTGAAATAATTGTATAAATATATCTTAATTGTTTTGTGTTTTTGATTTAAGAGTTTAAATTAGATGATTTATTGAAAGTGTATGATAGATATAGATAAAAATGAAGTATTTTTTATAAATTTAATTGAAGTTATTGAATACCTGACCTCTGAGTTTTTTCTGTTGCAGTTATATGGGGCAGTAACCATGAACAATGTCCTTTGCTTGTCGGTTTTCTTAGCCCTGGTTTATGTCCGAGGATTGACATGGGACTTTTCAGCGAAAGTTCTGGTTATTCTAGTCATTTGCCTCGTGATGGGTGCATTTGCCAGCTTCCGAGCCACCTTCCCTCTTTAGACAGCCTTAGTGGCGTTCTTCCTCTATCTGTTCTCCCTAACACTCGTGTATGTTCTTGACTATGTTCTTGGCTGGTCATAGAGAGATTCATAGAGGCTGGTACTTTCTGGCGACTGACTAATCAATTGCGGTTTCTTACCTTTTTAACTTATCGAATGTTTTTTTTTTTTTGGTTAGTTTGTAGATTTGAAATGTCTAGAACTATGGCATGGTGATTTTTCGGGATATATAGAAAGCCATGATGATGTTGCATTCCATGTTGTGTATCATTCGTGTGCAAGCTTGATATTGTGGTCTGTCTGTTATTTGTCTGTATTGAATTTTAATTGGATATTTTGATTATGAATTGAGTTATGTTAACAGCTTATGAACCATGATCTGATTTCTTAAGGCTGTATTTGATTCGTGAATTTGTGTAGGGATTTGAAAATGGAAATAGAAAAAGTGTGAAAGGTGTGCGAAATATAATTATATTTCATTCACATTTCATTTACATTTTACCCCTTCTAAATTCTTCATCAAACCCTTGAACTAAACACAGCAGGTGTGATTGAGAGAAAATAAAAGAAATGAGATTTCTTTTTTTTTAGTGGTACTTACGTGTAGGTCCTAATAAGTGAATTTATTGTCTAATAGGTCCTATGGGAAAAATTTGTCATAAAAAAATGGTCACTAATTATAAGTTTTAACGACAATTTATAAAAATATGACAAAAAAAAGTCACTAATTATTAATTTTTAGCGACATATATAAAAAATTGTCACAAAAAAATTATTTTTAGTGACAATTTTACCAACGCTTATTTTCAATAGGATTTGGTGAAAATTAAGTCCAACTATTAGGACCTATTGGTAATTTACTTTTTTTTTTTAAACTTGAAGGATTAGTAATTTGACATTTCTAAAAATAAACACTAGTCAATAAGAAAATTCTTTTTTTACTTCAATTTCTTTGTTTGTCTTTTTTTTTTTTATAAATATATATTTTGACAAAACCCTCTTAACAGGTCCTACATAAACAAAGAAAAAAAAAATTAAATAAATAAATAATTGACACCTTGCTAATGTCAAATATGACATACATAGGGCAATGCAAAATACTACTTAGATAAATGCCAATTTTTTTTTTTAGAATTATTAAATATTACAGGGTAAGTTATCACATAAGATTTTAAGGAAATGTTCTTAAGTTGCTTTTTGGTTAAATCACCTCTAATTATCACGGACTCTGTCAACCCTATGTCAGCTATTTGACAGCTCAATAACTGAAGAGAAACTGAATCATTGTATAGTAAAGGAAAAAAATTTAAAATAATTCTCATTCCACCCACATAAATTTTGTTGATATTAGCACCCAAATATATACATATATATATCTAAAGAGTAATGTTATACAAATAAATTTTATATATATTTTTTTATTAATTAGTGTGGCATTTACAAATATTATTATAGTGAATCCTCTTTTAAGTATCAATGTTTTGTTAGTGTATGACACATTAATTAACCAAAAAAAATTGAAAATATTATAAAATTTATATAGCCGTTCATTATCTAAATCCTTATAAGGATCCAGCAATTTATGACGTAAGCATGGTATCCTTCCCCTATCAAACAAATCTCTCACAGTAAGCCATAGCTCTCATCAGTCATCTACTAGTGTGATCAGATTCCCAAAATCCACATGCAAAAACTTTTTACCAATCAAAGGTTGTGCTTGACTCATCCACCAACCAAACAAAATGAAACAGCAAACCTAACAAACCCAAATATTGCACAACCAACAATGCAACAGACACATAATTTTTACATAAATTGTGCAGAGAATGTTGTGTGGTTAGGGTTACAACAAACATACAAGTTACTTGAGCTTGACTTGTTAAATGTTTGTTAGAAATTAACTTACGTAAACAAATCAAGTCAAATTTAAACACATTTTAAAACTTGTGAATTTTCAAGTCAAGTTTGAAAATTTTGCTACTCGGCTCGACTCAATCATATGCATTATAAAAAATCAAGCTATTTAAGTTGGCTCGCAATAAGATCAATTAAAACTCATTTAAGATTAACTTGGGAGCTAAATCAGTTTACTGTCATGACAACATCATTTTGTGCACAAGAGTGTGCACGAATCAGTATCTACAACATTATCTCTTCACAACCAAACTTCCTTGCATCAAATTTGCGACTCCCAAAATAAAACCAAGTCAATTGCATCTCTCCTCACTGTCATCTTCATGCTTCATGCTTACATAATGCAATATCCATATTCATATCTGTACTTTTACCCATAAAAATAAAAATAAAAAATAACTAAAAAAAAAAACCCACATCCTAGCATGTTTGAGAGAAAAAGCTGCAGCCTGCCAAAAAATCACAAACAGTGGGCTAAGGCAATTCTTGGAGGAAAACAACTTGGCCTGTCAAAACATGAAGAAATGGACTAAGCCTCCTACAACTTCAGATCGAGGTCATGTTTTTCACCAACTTCACCATTGCAGCCGCTAACGGTGGTTGTTGCTTGGTCAATCTGTGCCTTTGCCGGAGGAAAGAAGATGTATAAAGGCTGTTTTTGGGGCCCAGGATGCTGAATTGGGTCTTCAGCACTTCCCTGAAAAACATAATGCAAGCAAACCATTAGATGATGCGATTGGAATGAAATCAGGAATCAAAAAAATTGATAATGGATTTTTGTTGTTTAATCTCACTTGATGCAGTAGAGATTGAAGTTCTGATAATTCTCGGGTATATGAGGTTTGATACAATGAAGGGTGCTTATACTTTGAACTAGATTGGGGCAAAGCTGTTGCAGGAGAAGCCAATGTGAGAAAATCTCCGTTTAAATTGCCATTCTCTTTTACCACTTTCTTTGGATTCAGCTCACACAAGACCGTTGAGCTCAAAGGGCCTTCTCTAAAGAGGATGCTAATTCAATGTTAGTATACAAGAATTACACAACTACAACCACATTATGTATATATAACAAATCAACAAAAGAAAGCTGACCTGAAAATTGGGGTGTTGGGTTCAATACTAACTGTGCCTCCATTGCCACATGAAGCTGATTCATCTGATCTAGTGATGGGAGGAACAAAGATGGGTGGAAATTTGCAAGGGAAAGCGGGGCCTGATAGATTATCTGGAGGGAAAGGATATGGCCTCTTCATTCCAACCATCTAAATTACATTATATAAAATAAAGAAGAAAAAAACCCATAAGTATCGATGAAGAAATTTCCATTAAATGTCATTAAGAAAAATAATACAATTGAAATATGTAAGAATCCCATACTAGAATAAAGAAAACGCTAAGCTTATAGAATTATTATACAAAAAAACTCATAGAGAATAATGTGACAAAGGCAATTATCAATCAACCTTTTGTTTTCCAATGAATGGATGTAAAGAGGTCAAATCATTCTATATAAAATTTCTACATATAAATCCTATCAATCCAATTGTTTTCGTATGAGTTTTTACTTATAACATGAGAAAATTAAAAAAAGAACATATAAAAGATCCATATTTCCAATGTCTTGATTTTGATGAGAAAAACCAATTCTAGCTCTTTCAAAGAAAACATCTATCAAATTGTAAACTACAGAAATTAATGATTTTAACAGAGTCACCTTAATAAATAGAACTTGCTCTAGTGAATCTCAACCAAATGCAGGAAAAATTGTGGCATACAGGCTGAGAAAATGAAAGGAAGTTGAGCATTACCTTCTCTTCCTCATGCCACAAAGGTGTGTAGTTGTTGCCATAAAAGCTTTGGTTTGAAGGGGGCTCTATCTGATGATAATTGATCTCAGATGATGATGAAGTACCTGATGAGACAGTCACCTACAATTTTCACAAATTCAATTAGTCCTTCTTCAATTCTCACAAACCCCAAAATTCAAATTCCAAATCATGAAAACTCCATTAAGAACACATTAAAAAAACATGGACTCATTAATATTACTAACCATTGATGAAGAAGAAGGTTGCTGCTGGAATTGCGGTGTCCTCTGTATTATATTAGGGGGAGGCCAAATGGGGCTAGATTCATAGGGTAAATTCAAATTAGACCGAAATGCGAATCCATTGTGATCCAACCTATGGTTCTCCCCTTCAAGATTGTACTCACCATTCCACAACTTAGGCCAATTACCCTGCCCCAAACCCGAAACATTTGATGGTTTCGGCAATGGTACGTAATTCGGATGCAAAACATCAACGTTGGGGATCGAAGGGGCCGGTCTAAATATCAAATTTGGCGAAGAAAGATCGGTTTGCGAAGGGTTATGCCAAAAATTGGAAGTACATTGAGATTGAACAGCTAAACATGAAGAATTAATTGGTGATAGAAGTGAATTGGATAGTAAAAGAGCATCTTTCTTTTGTTGTTCCTCTAATATAATCTTCTCAAGCTGAGCAACACCTAGTCCTCTTTGTGGGACTTTTTTTTGCTTCAACTTTTTTGAAGATCTGTTTCCACCACCAGCACTGCTGCTATTGCTACACCTGTGGTTATGTTCTTCTTGAGCCATTTTTGGTCTCAGCCATCTAATTACAAACACATAATGGGCAATCTTAAATAGGGAAAAACCCAAAATGGTGGAGTTATGTACAGAAACAGATCCACCAAATCAGTACAATTCTGAGATACCCAAAATCTAAAGAATCAAAAATCAAAATCTGAGGGGGTTTGAGAGAAAACCCAGAAGCAAAATCTCGAGGTGATGGAGTCAAGATCGTTAATTCAGCAAAGATTGTGCTTTGTATATATAGAGAGAAAGTGTATCTGCGAGATTCGGATTTTGCTCAAAACCCAGTTGTTTGTTTGTCCGAGAAACAGACAGAAAATAAAGAAAAAGAAAAAACCATATTCAAAATTCAAAATTTTTCTAAAATGAGAAAATCTAAAGCAACCGTCTTCAATACTTTGCTTCTCTCTGATTTCTCACCCAAATCCTCGCTCCACTCCTTTCCTTACTAGACTCTCAATAACGCGCTCTTTCTATCTCTCTATATCATGGTCTCTCTCTCTCTCTCTCTCTCTCTCTCCAGCATTGCAAGGGAGTCCTGTTTTGCAGAGCTTTAGGACCAAGTTTAAATTAGTCCTATGTATAATGTAGTAATTCACTAACTGAAAGCCACCCTTTTATGTTTCCATCTGCGATTCATACGAAATAAAATAAAAAATAAAAAATAATTGCGGATAAAGGGAAAATTTAAAGAATATTAAATTTTAAACAAAATAAAAAATAAAATTTTAATCTTGGAATCTGACTCTTATAACAAAAAAAAAAAAAAAAATTAATTTTGTCAATTTGAATATAAAAATTTTAATTTATTTTTAATTTAAATTATTTATCTATTTTCGTTAAATAAAATAGAGAAAAAAAATCACCGTACTTAGTTCAATTTTTTAAATTCAATTTTTAAAAAAAATAATTTTTTTATTTTTCAAATTTTTTGTTTTTAGTGAATATTTTTAAAATTTTAAATAATTTTTTTTTACTTTTTTAGGTGCACCTTACTTAAATATATCTAAAAAGTAAATATTTGTAAAAAAAAATATTATACACAAGAATAAGAAAATGTAATGAATTTTTTTTTAATATTTTTGATATTTGGTGAATTTTTTAAAGATTTTTTTTTTTACAAATATTATACTTTTTAAGTATATTTATGTAAGGTGTATTTAAAAATTTTAAAATTACTTTAAAAAATTCAATTTTCAATGCAAACAAAAAAAATATGGAAAACAAAAAATTTTAATTTTTTAAAAAGTGAATCCTGAAATACCAAACCAAACAAGCTGAATATTATTGTAGTCATTAAACTTAATGAAGATAAAATACTCATTTTCATTGAGTTTAATGACTAAATTCTTAATTTTCATTGATTTTACTTAACGAAAACATGCAAATAGTTCAAATTGAAACAAATTAATTGTTTAGGGTTCAAATTAACAAAATTAAAAATCCATAATTTATTTTGTTACAACGGTCAAACAATAGTTTTTTTTTTTTGGTGTTATTTTACCATATTAATTTTTTTAATTTAAATTTTAAAATTTCAAAATAATATCAATTTTAACAATTTGTTTTTAATAATTAGATATAACTAACTGAGATTGTCAATTTAGACACTTTGTCCATCACCGCCTTTTTTCTTTTCCTTTTTTTTTTTTTTTTTTTTTTTTTTTTTTTTTTTGTCAATTCACTACCATCACTCCACCGCTACTCTCCCTTTCCAGTTCACTCCCAATCCCAACCCTTCCATTCCTTCCTCAGCTCATAGTCACTGCCGCTATTTAACACTACTGATAAAAAAAAATGATTCAATTACCTTAATTGCTTATATTTTGTTAGTTTTAACATATTATTAGAATTGATACAATTTAAAAAATTGAGGAAAATTAGTAATGGCAATGAAAAAAAAATAAAAAAATCACTTTGTTACTCACAAATTGTACTAAAATTTGAATGGTTTGTAATTTCTAGTTTCCTTTTCTGTTGGGGAAAGATAAAATAAAGTTGGGATTGTGCAAATCTCCTTGTTTATTTATTTATTTATTTATTTATTTTATACATAAATAAGTATAAATACATGTTGCAGTGTAGTCCAAAATTAACAGTTTTTTTTTTTCCCTTTTTAAATCTTCCAAAATTAAAATGTTTTGGGACAAGAGTCCTAGATTGGGAGAAGACTTCAGTTTGGGTAAAGATAAGACTCTTAGAGAGTTTATCCTAAATTCACTGGGAGTTCCAGATTAGCAGTAATCCTAAGTCCATTAGGGCTAGGCTCCTATTGAAACTAGGTTTATGTTGGCTATAAAAGAGAGGCACCCCCATGGGTCTAAGGTATGCTTTTGATACTCAAGCTTGTGAGTTTAGTACTTGATTTATCTTTGAGAGATATACTGACTTGATCGTCGGAGTGCCCCCGGGTGGTCGAAACCACCGCGGGATTCTTATATTTCTGTTGCAGGTCCGTCAGGTGCCATCTATTCTGCCAGTGCTCTCCAGCTGGTTACTAAGCGGGCAGTGTGGTCGGATTTTCGCCCACACAAGTAATGGCAATGAAAAAAAAATAAAAAATTCACTTTGTTACATCACAAATTGTACTAAAATTTGAATGGTTTGTAATTTCTAGTTTCCTTTTATGTTGGGGAAAGATAAAATAAAGTTGGGATTGTGCAAATCTCCTTGTTTATTTATTTATTTATTTATTTATTTATTTTATACATAAATAAGTATAAATACATGTTGCAGTGTAGTTCAAAATTAACAGTTTTTTTTTTCCCCTTTTTAAATCTTCCAAAATTAAAATGTTTTGTGATCATTAATGTTGGCTTAAGTGGACCAAGTTGGCTTGGTCTGTGTTCACTTGATTATTTGACTATTTTCCCAATTTGGGCTAGAATAAGCATGGATCCACAGTTACACTGTAGTTATTTAGGGGTTGTTTGGGGTGTCCTAAATAAGTAAACTTTTTGTCTTTTTAAACTAAAAAGTTGAGGGAAAAAATATGGATATTTGGGTTAACTTTTTAATTTTTTATGAAAAAATGTATAATAAAAAATTATAAAAATTGATTTGTAGAGGAAAATTAGAATTGAGAATTGTGCAGCTGTAATTGTTGACTTTTGGTGAATAGTGTTAACTTTTTAACTTTTTGAGTAACTTTTTGACTTTTTTTAAGTATCCCAAACTTGGCCTTATTTGAATCATCATATTAATACAAAAACATTGGAATATATACCTTCCCATATTCTATGTCATAAGCTATGCCAGTTGTCAAGGTGATTAGAGACCTTAAAAAACAATTTAAAAAAAATAATAATAATAATAATAATTTGAAATTTTGCTTCAATAATACATTGCCATAGAGGTTGTGACCTAGCCAGCATTGTCACATTGGTTCAAGTTACAATAATCAATCTTTCTAAAAAACCAGAATAATTGCTAGGAACTTTTAACATTATGCATTAGATATGATCTTAGATGCATTGTTGTCATGGTAGTAGCAATAGTTAATGATTCTATATTTCAAAATTTTCATTTCTTTTGTCTTAAATATTTTTTAACTGTATGATATAGTGAATATCTTCAAATACAAAAATCTCAAACCACAATCATATAATTAAAAGTATATTGAGATAAAGAAAGACATAAATTTTTGAAATAATAACCTTAAAACTTACTTGGTTGGCCTAACTTTTTGTGTGCTTGATTTACTAATTTAATAAACTTAGTTGGCTACAAAGTTAATGTGGCAAGAATTTTACACCCTTTGTTGCCAATAATGGTGCATGTAGATTGTTTGGTAAAACTCCCATTCTTGGTATTGTTAGTGCAGTTATTTCGTTGGATTCATTTGTAAGCATATCCATAAAGTGGCACATGTGTCATATGTTTATTTTATCTATATATTTATTATATACATTTTCATCAATAAAAAATTGAGTAACTAACGTGAAATATGTCCACTACCCTATATAGTGGTTTCATGGGAAGTTATGAAAAGTTACACTTGGATCATTGGTTCAAACCTATCTATATATGCCTGTGATAGCTATCAAAGCACAGACATTATTTTGTTAATAGAATAGACTTGAAATTCTGTTCCTTCCAATTTTCCATGTACTTCTGCGAAAATATTTTGTAAGTGGTTTTGTTTATACATTCAAGACTTGATCAATCAAGAACAAGTTTCAAAGGTTTGACCAACATGGCATGAGGTATTCCTCTTTCTAATTAAATTATTTTAGTTCTCACAATTGGAATCAAAATCAAGTTCTGTGATGTTGTTTAGCTTGTCTATGATTAGTGATCAGATTTTGTTATGTTTTGACTTTGTTGGGGTTTATTTGAATTCTATAAAACATGAACCAACCCACTTTTAAATTCTCCTATATCAAGAGATTAAAATCACATGTAGTAAAATTCCGTAACAATGCATTTCTCATTTTGTTTTTAAACCAAATCCAACAATTAAATTGCATATAACAAGTTTTACTTTTGGATTAAAAAATATTATTTGAAGCCGACTCTTTTTTTGTTTTATGAACTGTGGTCTAAAATCTCAGGGATAAAAAAAAAAAAAAAATTACTTTATACCACTCTTTGAAATTGATTTAGTGTAATGACTTGAGATATTTGAGTGTATTTTATTTATATGGGTTTCATACATAATTTCCATATCTTCCTGTGTAAAATAAAATAAAAGTTTCTGAAACTTGTTGGATTATTTTTCTCACTATTAAAGATGAACTATTGCATGATGTATATTATTTAGAGGCAATAGTAGAATTCATCTTGTTCTATAATAATATTGTTTACATTAATTTAGAATTGTTCTTATTCTTAACATATTTTGTTTTAAAGACTTATTGTATGTCATTAAGTATGAATTTTCATTAACTGACAAACATTACAAACCAAAGTGTTAAATATGATTTTGTATAAAATTCAGAAATTCTCATACTTTTATTTGGGATTATTTGGTTCAATAAAATAAAATGGGAGGGGGGGGACATGATAGGCTTATTTCTAGAATTTTTATGAAGAAATTTTAACATGCTACTAAAGATATTTTGTTTATTGTAGTTGCATGTTTAAATAGTATGTAAATTCATTTGAATTTCATACAGTGAACTATTTTAACATATCTTTTAAAGTCTTATAAATTTTCATATTCATTTGCATACTCTCTAGTATAGTGTAATATCATATTACATGTATTAAGATTATTTATGCCATGAAAATTTAAGTGAAATAAGAACATGTTATGGAATTTATTTTGGTCCAATTTTTAAGTAAAATCTGGTATAAGGTTGAATTACATGTGTTTGGTCTTGGGATTTTTCATGTGATATTACTTTGATTACATGTATTATACATTATATGCTTTAAAAGATTATGTACTTGTTGTGACCATAAGGATTTGCTCACATTAATAAATTATGCTATAATTAAAAAAAATTATTATATTTTAAGAGTAGCCACAACATCTTAAAACATAAAGATGTAGTGATTGTGACACCCCGAACGTTTAGTCAAGTCCGCATAAATATTTTTATTTATATATATTTATGGTTG